TTGTGCCTTTTTGTCAGCCTACTATCAGCTTCAATAAAGCATAAAGCTTTGGTGGATTTGCTGCTCTGCAAGTAGGATCAAGTGGAATCAGATTGCAAGTAATAACTGACATACTGTCTTCCAGGTGTTAAAAAAAACTAGATGTGAGCAGTGTAACTCCATGAAGATGACCCACTGAGTTCCAAGAGTACAGATTGTGGTTTATTTTAATTTTTATTATTAGTTACAATTTATTAACTCTGTATCCCAGCTGTATCCTGCTCCCTCATTCCCTCCTAATCTCACCCTCCCTCCCTCATCTCTTCCCTGCCGCTTTCCAAGTCCACTGATTGGGGAGGACCTCCTCCCCTTTTATCTGACCCTGTTTTATCAGGTATCTTCAGGACTGGCTACAAAGTCCTCCTCTGTGGCCTAGCAGGACTGCTCCTCCTTTGGGGTGTGGGGAGGTCAAAGAGCCTGCAATTGAATTCCCGTCAAAAATAGTCCCTGTTCCCCTTACTAGGGACAATTGGTTACTGAGATACCACAGGGTGTGGTGGTGTACACTGGTAGGATTTGCTGAAGGAGGCAGAGGCAGGAAGATCATGAGTTTGAGGCCAGCCTGGGCTACACAGATTGTGTTTTGATAAAAACTCTGGAGTCAGGTTTACTTTAAGTTCCAGCACTGCCACTTAAGTACAGCCTTGAAAAACTTCCTTGAGCTGTTAAGCTTCCAGTTTCCTCATCTTTAAACAGGGCTAATAATACCGCCTCTATAGGAAATATTATAAAATTTCCTGACTAGCTCAGCACCAGAGATTCAGTGAGTGCCAAGTAAGGAGCAAGTTGTTCTTTTTTATTTATTACAATTTATTCACTTTGTATCCCAATGTAGGCCCCTCCCTTACCCCTTCACAATCCCTCCCTTCCTCCCACCTTTTCTCCTTCCATGCCCTTCCCCAGTTCACTGATAGGGGACTTCCTCCTCCCCTTCCATCTGACCCTAGTCTATCAGGTCTCATCAGGAATGACTGCATTGTCTTTTTCTATGCCCTGGTAAGGCTGCTCCCCCCTGAGGGGGAGGTGATCAAGGAGCAGGCCACTGAGTTCATGTCAGAGACAGTCCCTGTTCCCATTACTATGGAACCCACTTGGACACTGAACTGCCATGGGCAACATCTGTGCAGGGGTTCTAGGTTATCTCCATGCATGGTACTTGGTTGGATTATAAATCTCAGGAAAGATCCCTGTGCTCAGATTTTTTTGGTTCTGTTGCTCTCCTTATGGAGTTCCTGTTCTCTCCAGATCTTACTATTTCCCACTTCTTTCATAAGATTCCCTGCACTCTACCCAAAGGTTGGCCATAAGTTTCAGCATCTGGTTTGATAATGTGCAGTGCAGAGCCTTTCAGAGGCCCTCTGTGGCGGGCTCCTGACTTGTTCCCTCTTTTCTCCTTCTTCTGATGTCCATCCTCTTTGCCTTTCTGGATAGTGATTGAGCATTTTAACAAGAGTTCTCCCTCTTGATTAGTTTACCTACAGATTTTAGTAGGTTTATCCTGTATTATGTATCTATATGAGTGAGTATATACTGTGTGTGTCTTTTTCATATGGAATAACAAGAACCCCAGAATTGCCAAACAATCTTCTACAATAAAAGATCTTCTGGAGGTATCTCCATCCCTGATCTGAAGCTTTACTATAGAGCAACAATACTAAAAACTGCATGGTATTGGCATAGAAACTAACTGGTGGATCAATGGAATCTAATAGAAGACCCTGAAATAAACCCACACACATATGGACACCTGATCTTTGACAAAGATACCAAAACCATACAATGGAAAAAAGATAGCATCTTCAACAAATGGTGCTGGACTAACTGGATGTCTACATGGAGAAAAATGCAAATAGATCCATACTTATCACCCTGCACAATACTAGAGTCCAAGTGGATCAAAGACCTCAATATAAAACCAGACACACTAAACCTATTAAAAGAAAAATTGGGGAAGAGCCTGAAACTCATTGGCACAGGAGACAACTTCCTGAACATAACACCAACAGCACAGGCTCTAAGATCAACAATCTATAAATGGGACCTCATGAAACTGAAAAGCTTCTATAAAGCAAAGGACACTGTCATCAGAATAAAACTACTATCTACAGATTGGGAAAGGATCTTCACCAACCCTATATCTGACAGAGGCAAATATCCAGTATATACAAAGAACTAAAGATGCTTTGCCCTTTTTAAGGAAGAGAAAAAGAAAATGAAAAAAAGTAGGGAAAGATAACTCCAAATGATAGGGGCTTATTTCCTCCCATGTGGGAGCTCAGCAAGATATACCAGCAGCTAGCATGGGATAGAAATATTTATAATAAGATTATTGCTTAAAATAGGGGCAGTTATCCAGCATGCCCACACAGTCCGCCCAGTTGACACCATATCCTTTTTGTCATCCCCAAAACCAAGAACTTTGCAGTAAATGCCACTACCTTTCTACTTGGTGAAAATGAACAATCAATTAAGAAGATTTGCCTTTATATCGAAACATAGAGATTAATGGCTTACCTTGTGAGCTCTTAGGCTTTAGAAGTCTATATTTTCCTTGTTCTTAAAACTTTTCCTCCCAACCTGATTAGTCAACCTCCATCTTGCCCAACAGCCACTACTCTGGATGCCAGATCTGGACAGGTATCTGGTTACTATAGATTCTTTTATATCAACATCTACACCAGAAGTGGTAGCTAGTCCTGAGGCCATCCTGAGAGCAAGTACCTAGTCCACAGAACAACCTGCACACCGTGGTGCTTGTTGGGTTATAAAGAAGTGCTGTGGGCTATGAACACAAGCCAAACCACTATAACTAAACCAACATACTAGTTGTTGGATGGAAAATGAATGAAAGAGAATAGCTATAATGTCACAAAAATGTTTTACACTTCCTTCTGATCACGTGAAACACCTGGATTAAAGAGAAAGAAACTTGCCTCTGTGTCCTAACTCAAAGGAACATTCTATCAAAGTTGTTGTGTCTGTCTCAGGCACCATTTGGCACTGAGATAGACCCGGACGTGTCTGTTCGGTAAACTTGCTATGTACTTTCAGTTGCCTAGTAGGAGAAAGGGCTTGGTGTTTCCTGTGGTCATATGACTAGTCTCTCTTGCTAAATTTTATTTCTATCATGCCTGTCAAAAAGAGTGGGGAAGTAATACTTCTTTGAGTACATATGCAGTGTCTTGTAACTGGAAATGTTAATATCTCCAGTCTCTATAATAAATTAATAGCAGAGTCCTCTCTCAGGGAGTCTTTAGAAAACTGTATTTTGTTCACATTCTCTCTACTTTATACAAAAGAGCAGATTCTATTGTGTTCTGTGTGTCCTTATATCTGTCCTTCATGGTAGTCTTTTGGGGGATTGACAACCATATCAGTTAACTTTGTGTTTTCAGTATCTGAGCACAATGCCTGGCCATCACAGGATAGGAAAGAACGAGGAAGGAAAGCAGTGGTAGTTTGAGGGCTTTGGGGCACTCAGCATAAGGGAAAAAACAACAGTTTTTTCTTAATATCTTTGCCTCTTGTTAACAAACAAAACTGAAATCCTTTGAGTGGTAGTAAGTTAGCTGCATTGGCCTGGGCTTCAGATCACTTCTTGTGGGCATACGGGTAAGAAAACATCCTATCTAAAAGCAAAATAATCTTAACTGACCCACACAGGAAACCACATTTCAGCTCAGCATTTGCTCCTAATGTAATTTCAAAACAGTGAACATTCTGTTCAAGATTTAGAAAGCAAAACTTTGCTCACCCAGCAGTTAAGATTATTTTTTGACTCAGTCTTCTAATATGTATAATTGCCCAGAAGAGTTCCTCAAGGACAGAACTATTACTGGAAAAATTCTCCCTTCTTCCGAATTCCTCCTCCTTATCAACTGTACCAGCCAAAGCAGTGCCAGATATCAAGGGCTGTGTAACTCCTCGTTTTTAACTTAGTTCACTAAAAACTGGTCATTATTTCTGAACATAAGATTTAGTAGCCTCTGATGGAGACTTTTGTTAAGCTACAGCAATCTCCCCTGAATTTTAAGTGAGGAAATGTAGTCACAGGGGACTTTCCTCTCTCCCATTTAGATCATAATCAAATGAGCTTCTCATAGTTCTTGGACCAATGAAGACATTTTGAATTGACAAGGGACAATCATGTTAGTTTCAAAAAGCCAGGACCAAAGCTTGGCTATCACTTTGCTGAATACTTGCAGCCCCAAATTAATTATGGTACAAGAGTTGAAAACTACCGTTGCATCAAGTTATGCAAGTTTCTGCTCACGTACACATTTTATATGAGACTTGTTAATGTCCATGTTTCATATATCACAGATAATTTAATGCAAAAAAGAAGCCCTTCAGATCACAATGTTTGTCTTGCTCTTTGAAAGCCCCACACTAAACATCCTTAATTCGTATCTAGGAATAAAATAATAAAATACAGTTATAGGACACATACTGTATTGCAGGGTTTTGTTTGCTTGTTTTTTTTTTTGTTTGTTTTTTACTCATCTTATCCAAAGCATGATAGTCAGAGCACTAACTTTCTTTTTAAACGTTTTCAGATGAAGATAATACATCTCCTGGCTGCTGTTCTAAATCACTCTGGCTATGACTTTCCTTTCTACTTTAAAATCAGACCTTAAGTTTTCTAAAGAACAAGTAACATGGAAGATTTCCTCAATTTTAACTTATCTCACACAAAAACTCCAAGCATCAGAAACCACCATATATAGTAAACAATCCAAGTGCTATACTACTGTATGCTCATGGATGCTCTGGCCTGAGAAATCAGCTAACAAAACCCAATTAAATCAAAGTATTTATAACCTGATTGCCTGATGGAGCTGCTAATCTAAATATTTGTAAAACCAGAAAATTTAAAGTTTACTAGAAAGATGTATCGAGACTCCTAAAATACTGTGTCCCGCATTAGCTGGATTGGAGCTGTTAAAAGTCATAAGTCTTACCTTTCCTAGGCAGTGTTCCTCAGTACTTCAAGTAGAATTTGTTGGTTATCTTTAAGGTGGCCAGAGCAGGCTGGTAACACAGAAGTCTGTGTCTATTTGTGTAAAAGGAGAAGTGAAGAGAGAAAAAAAAAAACATAATCATGCTGTGACGACAGGAAACCCAAGCAAGAAGAGTGAGGAAGTGAGACTGAGTGTTCTCTATTAGGCTCAGATAGTCAACTGTTCCCCAGTGAGTTTTTAGAGGTTTCCACCCATAGCCCACTCTAAGCTGGTCCTGAGAACAGAAGAAGACATGACACACAAACCTGAGTCCTGGTGAACTCCACAGGGATTTGGGGGATAGTTTCTGCTTATAGAACAGTATTTCTCAATTAAAATGGCACATAGAAATTACCTGTGGATCTGTTTCTGTGTACCTGGCTCAATCACCTGACCAAAAACTATACTACTAACCCACATTGACAATAACAGCATCGTACTGGAACAAATACAGACTTGTAGACCAATAGAATATAATAGAGGACACATAAATAAACTGTACAGGTATAGATATGTACCTTTGGACAAAGACATATAAATAAATAAATAGGAAAAATATAATGTATTGAATAAAAGGTGCTGGCAAAATTAGATAGCTACTAACAGAAGAATTAAGATAACTCTGTAGGTTTTACCCAGCACAAAAAAAATTAAATGCAGATCAAAGATCTTACTTTAAAACTGAAAATGCTGAAAGTACTAGTGGAAACACTTCAAAAATATCAGTATAGGCAAAATTTTTTGGAATAGAAACCCAATAGCACAGAAAATACTCCCAGGAATTGAAAAATGGGATTATAGAAAATCAAGACCCCTCTACACAGCAAAGAACCTATTAGAAAGTGAACAGATAGCCTACAGAATGGAAGAATACCTTTGCCAGCTAGGTGTCAGACAGAAGTTTGATATTTAGAAATATAAAGGACTGTGCAAATTAAGCATAAAAAAGGCATAACTTTCAAACCTTCCTATTGAAAAATAAGCCAAAGAACTTAACAGACAGTCCTCCAAAGAAGAAATACAAATTTCATGATTTCCTTATTTTTCATTGCTGAGTAATACTCCATTGTATAGATGTACCACAGTTTCTGCATCCATTCTTCAGTTGAGGGGCATCTGGACTGTTTCCAGCTTCTGGCTATTACAAATAAAGCTGCTCAAACATGGTTGAGCAAATGTCCTTTTTGTGTACTTGAGCCTCTTTTGGGTATATGCCTAGGAGTGGTACGGCTGGATCTTGAGGAAGCGCTATTCCTAGTTGTCTGAGAAAGTGCCAGATTGATTTCCAGAGTGGTTGTACAAGTTTACATTCCCACCAGCAGTGGAGAAGGGTTCCCCTCTCTCCACAACCTCTCCAGCATGTGTTGTCCCTTGAGTTTTTCATCTTGGCCATTCTGATGGGTGTAAGGTGAAATCTAAGGGTTGTTTTGATTTGCATTTCCCTAATGGCTAACGGGGTTGAGCATTTCTTTAAGCGCTTCTCTGCCATTCGATATTCCTCTACAGAGAATTCTTTCTTTAGCTCTGTTCCCCATTTTTTATTTGGATTACTTGGTTGTTATAATGGGAATTACAGCTTGTTTAGTTCTTTATATATACTGGATATGCGTCCTCTGTCAGATAAAGGGTTGGTGATGATTCTTTCCCAATCTGTAGGCAGTCGCTTTGTTTTGATGATGGTGTCCTTTGCTTTACAGAAGCTTTTCAATTTCATGAGGTCCCATTTATTGATTGTTGCTCTTAGAACCTGTGCTGTTGGTGTTCTGTTCAGGAAGTTTTCTCCTGTACCAATGAGTTCTCGGGTATTCCCCACGTTTTTTTTCTAGCCGATTTAATGTGTCTGGTTTTATGTTGAGGTCTTTGATCCACTTGGACTTCAGTTTTGTGCAGGGTGATAAGTATGGATCTATTTTCATTTTTCTACATATAAACATCCAGTTGGACCAGCACCATTTGTTGAAGATGCTATCTTTTTTCCATTGTATGGTTTTGGCATCTTTGTCAAAAATCAGGTGTCCATAAGTGGGTGGGTTTATTTCTGGGTCTCCTGTTCTATTCCCTTGATCCACCATTCTGTTTCTATGCCAGTACCATGCAGTTTTTATTACTGTTGCTCTATCGTACAGCTTGAGATCCGGGATGGAGATACCTCCAGAAGATCTTTTATTGTAGATGATTGTTTTAGCAATTCTGGGTTTCTTGTTATTCCATATGAAGTTGAGAATTTTTCTTTCCAAGTCTGTAAAGAATTATGTTGGCAATTTGATGGGAATTGCATTAAATCTGTAGATTGCTTTTGGTAAAATGGCCATTTTTACTATGTTAATCCTGCCAAGCCATGAGCATGGGAGATCTTTCCATCTTCTCATATCTTCCTCTAATTCTTTCTTCAGAGGCTTGAAATTTTTTTCATACAAGTCTTTGACTTGCTTGGTTAGGGTTACACCAAGGTACTTTATATCATTTGTGGCTATTGTGAATGGTGTTGTTTCTCTAATTTCTTTCTCAGCCCTTTTGTCTTGGTAAATGTTGGGACCTGGAAAGGATCATCCTGAGTGAGCTGTCCCAGAAGCAAAAAGACACGCATGGTATATACTCACTCATATAAACATACAACATAGAATAAACCCACTAAAATCTGTACATCTAAACAAACTAAGCAAAAGAGAGGACCCTAACTAAAATGTTCAAGCCCCATCCTGAAAGGCAAAGAGGATGGACATCAGAAGAAAAAGAAAACAGGAAACAAGCTAGGAACCTGCCACAGAGGGCCTCTGAAAGCCTCTGCAGTATAGACTGTCAAAGGAGATGCTGAGCCTGATGGACAACTGATGGGCAGAGTGAATGGAATTTTATGGAAGAAGTGAGAAATAGTAAGAGCTGGAGGAGAGAGCAACAGAACAAGATAATTTGAACACAGGGAACTTCCCAGAAAATCATACTCCAAACAAGGACTATTCGTGGAGATGACCTGGAACCCCTGCACAGATGTAGCCCATGGCAGTTCAGTGTCCAAGTGGGTTACATAGTAATGGGAAGAGGGACTGCCTCTGACATAATTTGATTGGCCTGCTCGTTGATCACCTCCCTCTGAGGGGGGAGCAGCCTTACCAGGCCACAGTAGAGGACAATGCAGCCACTTTTGATGAGAACTGATAGACTAAGATCAGAAAGGAGAAGAGAACCTCCCCTATCAGTGGACTTGGGGAGTGGCATGCATGCAGAAAGGGGAGGGAGGGCGGGATCGATAGGGGAGGAGGGAGGGACTTATGGGGGGATACAAAATGAATAAAGTGTAATTAACAAATAATTTAAAAAATAAATATATTTTTATGTATAAATCTCCCTATCAAAAAAAGAAGAAATACAAATGTGCAGATGACCAACAAATATTTTTTTTTAATTATTTCAACCTACTTAGCCAGCATAGAAATGCAAAATAAAACTACTTTTAAATCCCGGTCCTCTGGCTTTTACCATCTTTCAATCCCATTTTTTTATGTTTTCTGTTCCTTAGGTGTAGAAGATATAGCTTCTGAAGATGAGCACCCCATGAGTAGATGTTTTCTCCGTTTTGTTGTAGCTTTCTGTAATGGTCTCTGATTGCTGCAAAGAGAAGCCTTTTTTTCTTGTTGTTGTTGTTTTGGTTTTTTTTTGTTTTTTGTTTTTTTGTTTTTTTATTATTATTATTATTTTACACTTTATTCATTTTGTATCCCCCATAAGCCCCTCCCTCCTCTCCTCCCTCCTCCCCTCCCGATCCCACCCTCCCTCCCCCTTCTTCGTGCATGCCCCTCCCCAAGTCCACTGATAGGGGAGGTCCTCCTCTACTTCCATCTGATCTTAGTCTATCAGATCACATCTGGAGTGGCTGCATTGTCATCTTCTTTGGCCTGGTAAGACTGCTTTCCCCTCAGGGGGAGATGATCAAAGAGCAAGCCTATCAGATTATGTCGGAGGCAGTCCCTCTTCCCATTACTATGTAACCCACTTAGACACTAAACTGCAGATTACATCTGCTCAGGGGTTCTAGGTTATCTCCATGCCTGGTACTTGGTTGGAGTATGAGTCTCTGGGAAGACCCCTGTGTTCAAATCTTCTAGTTCTGTTGCTCTCCTTGTGGGGTTCCTGTCCTCTCCATAACCTACTATTTCCCACTTCTTACATAAGATTCTATGCACTCTGCCCAACAGTTGGCCATAAAGTCTCAGCGTTTGCTTTGATAGTCTCAGGGCAGAGCCTTTCAGAGGCCCTCTGTGGCAGGTTCCTAGTTGTTTCCTGCTTTTTTCTTCTTCTGATGTCCATCCTCTTTGCCTTTCAGGATGTCTTTTTAAATGAGTGTTAATAACTATACTTACCTATGGATATAAGGATAAATATTTAGAATACAATGGAAGCTATGTTGTTATGGTAAAGTGGAAGTGGTAGATTCTCCTCTAACATCCATGACTTCACTAGCCCATGATAGTTGGCTAGTTTTTCAGGACCAAGCATGATTGAACAAGCGTTGAGTCCAATTTGACCACCAAGATATGATTGTCACTATTGAACCTTTAGGGATATCTTGTCATGCTGGTCATTGCTTTGGTTCATATGTAACACAACTGTGTAGGACTATTGGTTGTGTCCTTTCCTTGGCAGATTGTATAGAATCTTCTGAAACTACGAAAGCTAGTTTTCAAAGAGTTGGCTTTCAGATCAAACCCAGCTCAAATCTACCAATTCCTGTGTCTTAAGGGCATTATGTCTTCAATAATAGGATATTAACCTAAAATTTTGGGAGGCAACTTTTCTGGTTAGTTTTATGTCAACTTGACACAAGATAGAGTGATTGGGGAAAATGGAATATCAACTGAAAAAAATGTCTGCACAAAATTGGCCTGGGGGCAAGCCTGTGATTGATTATCAATCTGGGCCTCAATAACTGTGGGTGGTACCAGTCCTGGTCTGGTGGTCCTGGGTGCTGTTAAGAAGCAAGCTGTAGGGGACTGGAGAGATGGCTCAGTGGTTAAGAGCACTGTCTGCTCTTCCCAGGGACCC